TCTTATCCACCGGCGACTCAGATAGATTTAGGGCCGTGAGAGTACATGCGAACAAAACATCTTCGAACCAATCCAAATATTTAGCCTAAGCCAAGAACCAAGCCAACCGGAGCCAGGAGGGCTCCGGCGGCGCACCACCATGGTCGGTGGCGCCGGACGCCTTAAGGGGGAAGAGAGAGCAACCTAGGAGGAGCCTAGTGAGAGACACTCTCAACTCTCTCTAATATTGTTAGGTGCAAATTATTATTTTTAGAAAATGGAGATGGTCTCTTCATTAATATAACTCTTAAAAGACCTTGTTGTTGTGGTCTAATCTCAGTGTTTTGACGTTCACGTCGATTTTAGCTTTTTATGGTATGATGATTTGCTATATATAGGATACTTTCTTCCTACTTTCCTAGCATGTATTTTGGAATTTGGATGGAGAGGGTTCATCATCTATGTATGCACTTTTTTCAAATGTACTCAAAGTTTCGCTCGACAATTTCTTCATGAGTACGAAAAGATAAAAAACTCATTATTGATATTTAATCGTCAGAAAAGTATAGATATTGCAAATGCATCGCAATACTCTTTCAACAGAAAAGTAAATAAACAAAAAAGAAAAGGAAAATAATTACATGAATGATGTATCAAGAGTCAAGGGTATTGTTAAACTAACTACATCATCTCCAAGTACACATTAATATTTCTCCTAAGCGGGGACTCTGCCATCAGCACTATGGTAAAAATTCTCTTGAAGCAGATCATACAATTTGCTTCCACTATCCAGATCATTGAAGATTCCAGCTAGTATGGCATTTGTCACCGGTTGGATTCCTTCACCCCTCTGCAATCTGCATGACGGTATTTTTCGCATTTCACAAGATAACTCCAAAATTTGACTATTGTGTTTTTTTATATTATTATAGACTTTTTCTCTTATATGTATTGCTTGAACGGCAGTACAGAGCGTGCTTTAGTGCATCAACTGCTCAATGCAATCTTAAATTTATTAGTGCTTTAGCTGCTCAATGCGATATTACTTGTTGAATAAAAACGAAATCAAAGTCACCTAAAGTAAAAACAAAAGAGATGGGGTTGAGAGTATTTTGAAATAGGAAGAGATGAAAGTAGTCACTTGAGGATTTCCTTCAATTTTGTAGTTGAGTTGGAGCACCATGTTGACACTTCTTCACATGCTCTTCCTCTCTAAAAACTGGGAAATCCCCATCCTTGGGTGGGTTGAATACCAAAGCCCCATTGAAAATTTGATGTACTGAAAGCTTAAAGATCCCTATCATAATAAAGTAGGGTTGGAATTCAGGTTATCCATATACTGAAATTCATCAATACAAATTTGTTCTGAAAATAATTTAAAATAATAATAAAACTAAAAGTTGAAGAGAAAAAAATTCTAGAACATAACGTTTGTCTATCATATGCGTGAATATAGAGGAAGGGTGAAAGAGAATTTGTTCCGAATTTATCCTAAATTTTAAGACATCCAAAACAAAACAAAATAGAAAAGTGATTAGTACAACAATAACATCCAAGCCTTAGTCCAAAAAGAATTCGCAGTCAGCAAACATTAATCGATACATGATATTTGAACCAAAAGGAAAAGAAATATAAAAAGATAAGCTATGATAAAAAGATAATATAAAAAGAAAAAGATAGACGGAGTAAATAAAAATGATAGAATAAAATGGATAAAAAGAGTATATACATAAAGATAAAAGGATAATAAAACACAGGAAAGAAAAACACAAGAAAGAAAAGTGATTAGTAGAATACTAAATTCTGAAGAGGAATATTGAACCGAAGAACGTATGAATAAAGAGGAGAGACACGCACTGAGGGAAAAGAGCTTAATTCTTCTCCATTTAAGAAGAATCAGGTAGAGAAAAATTAGTAGCATGTAACAACTTATACAGTGCAGCTAACTCACCAATAGCTCACTGCCTGACATGTAAAAAAAGTTCTCAGATTTGGAACTTATCAAACCACAAAAGAAATACTCCTATATATCTCATTTTTCTTACAATTTTTTAGGAAATATATGAATGTATGATTGTGGACTTATCACTAACAATTGTGTATATAGTTATGTATATACGTACTATATGTAACTTTTACCGAGTACCATATTACAGAGTAGCTCATAAAATTAAGACTAATATTAACACTATAACCTATTTAAGCAATGAATCCGAGTTGGAGAGTTTATAAAACTAAGACTAATATTAACAATTAATTCAAAACAGAGTTGGAGAGTTTAGTAGTTTTCCATATATAATACTTTACCCTCCCTTCTTCATTTCTGAAAATGCATGGAGAATTGGGTTAGCTTTCTTTACAGGAATGCCAGATGGAAGATGTGAAGAATGTCAAATTAGAGAGCATATTCTGCTTCTAGGAAGAACGTCCCTGTATGGAGTAAAAAGATAAAGCATACATAAATACATAATAATATAGTTGGAAATACTTGATCTTTGAAAAAAAACATTATTTCCACCTTGACCATGTGTGAAAGAGTAAATATTAGTTTGATGATGGCCTAATAACTACAGTACAATAACTGCCAATCAGGGTGGAAGAATCCCATATTAGCTTCCTGCCATGTGGAACAGAAGAAGCAAAAATTTAGTTTCAATAAATGCATAAATATGAGGAAGAAGTGCTATAGAAAAAGAAAATAAGAGTAAATGGGAAAATATTAAATTTGATTGTGAAGAAGCATAATTCCATAATTTTGATTACTCACTTAACTGCTTCTTTAACATTATCACTAATTTGAAGTTTGAACCGTCTATTATGTTTTGAATAGTAAATCTGAATATAATGCTACAATTTGATTATTAATAGACATCTGCAGGCTTAAATAGAGTTAGTAGAGACACTTACATACATTTGCACCTTCCATATGTTAATTTGAACTAAAATCATCAATTTTTAATATCTCAAATCCTAAGAAAGCGATCAGGAACTCTCATGAAACATATCTCAACCTACATTTACTAAAAGTCTGCTATTGGTGTGTAGAAGCAGATATAGTGTGGAGTTTTGCACCTTTAAATTTGATTTTTTACTTTTTTGTATTCAACCTTCAAAAATCTGCAAAATATGAATGTAACTTTAAGATGGAATGAAACTTCCAGATCATTTTGAGCAACCCCAAATCATATGCAGCAAGTTTAAACAAAAACAACTAATAAAAAATTAATTAAATGCAAGCAACAAAGGAGTCGTAGTCTGAAATACAAAAATCCAATATGATGTGAGATTGAATAATCAAACTCAAAAGAACAATCGGGAAATTTAGACGGAAAGATTCTAATCAATGGTTCTCTAAAGTTTCACCAATGAAGTTATAATCTTCTAATCAAACTCACCATTTAGGGATCCGGAAAGCTAATCACAAAAGTGTTGGATTGTAACCTTCATGTTTGCTTCACCATTCCAGAAGGATTCCGCCACACACTCCACATCCCAACATAGGTTTTCCCTCTTCAGAAAATTTGGCAAAACCCAGAAGCAAATCGGAGCCAAGAGCGAAGAGGTAAAGGGGTACGTGAGGGAGAAAGCATGAGATGGGTAGGTTTGATTGGTGGAGCAGGAGAGGAATAAGAGCAGCGATAAGATATAAGGTAAGAAATGCGAATGCAAGACGAACATGTGCCTTTGAGGGATTTGGTTTCCGGTGGTGAGGGAGAATGATGAGGATCGAAGCCTGAGCTCGAAAACGATGAGACATGGGAAGAGAAAAAATGAAGTGTATAAGGCTTAGATCTATATTAATTAATCGTACGGCTGAAATGACCCTGAAAACTTGAGCGGGAAAATGCTCCTCCTCAAAGTATTGCAATTATGTAGAGAGATTAATCGTACGACTGAAATGACCCTGAAAACTTGAGCGGGAAAATGCTCCTCCTCAAAGTATTGCAATTATGTAGAGAGATTATTGTTGTTATGGTTCTGAATGTTAGAAGTTCAGATATGTTTGATTAAATGTTTCATTTTGAGTAGTGTGAGAACGCTCTTTAAAATATACTACGTATTCAGTAGACTTCAATTTTTCTGGTTTGGTACAATCTATTAAAGTATATTCTTGTTTTTTGGACTATGTCACTATCTAATTCGATCTGATAAACATTTGATATTGGATTTATTTAATTTATTGTCTGTATTTGATGTAATGTAACACTAAAAAAATCGATGTAATGTTATATGTGCAAATGTTGGTTTAATCATTTTCAATTTGGTTTAGTTTGATCAAAGAGCTAAGTAGCTTAATTACTAGGCTCGTTGAGTATATCATATTCGATCTATAGATGTTAAAATTGTGAAATTCATTTACAACATTTCATAGGAAATTGGAAAAGTAGATACGATTAACCATTTTAGTGATGATAGGTTGATACGATTAAACAAAATTTAGTTTGTCGATGTATACTGTATTGTCTGAATATGACCTGATACAGTTTTTAAAAGAAATTCTAAACCAGGGTTTTAGGCTTTTAGCTAAAATCAGAGACGATTATTATTTAAAATACAATAAAAAGGTATGATACGTTTTCTTAAATTAGGAAATGTTTGGAGATTTCAACCTAAAAGGTCAACCTGATAGGAGGAGTAGCCCAAAACCTTATATAGTGTTTAATTGTTTTATAGCTTTCCGGTGTGGGACAAATGATTTAACACGCCCCCTCAGCCCGAACCGGACTGGACAATATCGGGGTGTATAAACGGGCCAAACAAACCCTTAACAAGCTACCCTTAATCATGGGTGCTAAACAAGCCGTCAAACCACAACCGGAATTGGTTCTGATACCATGTTAAGACCTGAGGTTCCATCCTAAAAGGTCAACCTGATAGGAGGAGTAGCCCAAAGCCTTATATAATATTTAATTGTTTTATAGCTTTTCGGTGTGAGACAAATGCTTTAACAAGTTTTTCTATAATTGCAAACTTTGTTTCTTTTTGTCCATCCAAGGGTAAGGGTAAGATAGACACGGGCAAGGAACCGATAATTAATCCAAATGCAGAATTTGAGAGAGAATATTTCACAAATGTCGGAATTTTTAATTATTTTCTAGGCATTGCATTTGAATTCAATTGCCATTTCATACTTTATGACTAATATAAGCGGATTTCTTAAGTTCTAATAATACCATGACTTTTTTTTTGCTTTATATTTTTTAATTGGAATTCTTTATCTTTGATACGTGCTATCCAAAAGTATTTGTAGAGTCCCTTCATTTTGATGTTAATTTTCTTTAAGAGTTGTTATGATTGTTATTAATCCCCTTAGAATTTACATTTCTCATTGGAGAATGTAAATCATAAAAATTGTTATGTTTAAGTATTACTGATTAGTGATACTACTTAAGGATATTTATGACCATGTAATTAGGCTTTCACCGGTTTAATTGTTTATTAGATTTATATGAACATGTAGTTTAGTTTGATAGGTGTGAGTTTGTCTGTTTGTATCTATTGATTTATGCTCTATACATCCTCCCCTCTCGGATCATAGTTTTTGTAGCAAAACACACACCACTCATTTTAGATTAATTTAAGGACAATGAAATGATTAATTCAATAGCTTTTGTGAAAATGAAGAAGTCACGTGTTGTATATCTTAAATTTCTATGTTAGTTACTACATTCTACAATGTATGTTTCAATCTACATGCATAATTGGTATATTGGCAGTTGAAATTTTGCACATTTTTTGCCTTTAAAATGACTCATTAATTAGGATCTTGGATGAATTGTTCTCATCTTATGAGTGTATATTTGCTATGCAGGCTGCAGCGTCTTCTTATATTTGGGACTAATGTAGTGCTATGTGGGACTCAATAGCTTCATGATTTCATGGCAATATACAAGAAAGTGACCTAATAATATTATAATTGAATTATTGAAACAATAATTATAAACAAAAAGGATCAAGATTTGGGCTTTCTCTCCAGGGCTTCCTAGCCGCTAGAGCCTTTTTCTCCGGCGGCGATCAATTCTGATCGTGGGTTCCGGCCGTTTTTGTTTGATCTGTGTGTTTCTGTTTTGGCTTACATCGTAAGGATTGCGCTCAGTTACTATCGAACGTTGGTCTGCTACTGTGCTTCCTTTCATTTTGATCCCAGGCAATAGGCAATCCGATTGGCTCTCTTTTTTGGGAGGAAGAATGAGTTTGGGTAGAAAGAGCATGACAACGATGACCAGGGGCGGAGGTAGAGGGGTGGCCAACCGGGCCATGGCCTGCCCCAAATTTGAAAATTCTTTTTATTTTTAGTGTAAAAATTTATGTGAAAAAAAATTATCTGTAAAATTCTTTGTACCGGCCCAACCCAACCTTCAATCCTAGCTACGCCCCTGGCGATGACCGCTAGCGGTGGACTTGCTAAGAGCACGGGACGAGGAGAGTTGTGCGGTTTTCAAGCAGGTCAGATGATTGACAATGGAGGATCAATTATAATGGTACCAAGGATACGGACTCCTCCGGAACCACCGTCATGGGTTGTACGAGGTGATAGAATCCGTGAAAGTTTTCCTATTAGTTATTATGTTTTTGTCAATTGGATTCTTGTTATCGTCTATGTTGTTAGGTTTGTCAGTTTGTTTGGGATTTCAGCCCTTTTTATGTCATTGATGAGTATGTTTAGATCTATGAGAATAGGGATGGCTGTGTCAAGGCCGCTACATGGTCAGCGATTCGCGTTGCTCTTTCAGGGGTGACCGTCTCTAAGTCTGATCATAAGGTTCACAGTCGTAGTTGTTGGAATTTAGTTGGTGTCAGTTTTGCGTTTCCTTTGACTGATGTAATGATTCTGAAATTTATGATATGAAAGAAGGCTAGTTGTTGATCAAAAAAATATAAATAAAAAGAGATTTCATTACATATCTAACACTAGCATAATGGTGGCACGTATCGTTACTCTCTTTCAATTGAAATTTATGAATTATCTTGTAGGGATAATTGACATTAAGAATCTTCCTAAAACAAACGTAATATGAAGTCAAGTACTATGTAAAAGAATCTTCTTAAAACACTTCAAGAATTAATGACTTTTGAGGTTTGGTTAAGCTTATGTAATATGAAGTCAAGTACTACGAACTACGCAGTACGAACGTAATAACTTTTGTTTTTCGGAAACAAACGTAATGACTTTGGTCTTTGGAGGTTTGGTGAAGAGCTTGAGCCATTTTTATGTGATTTGACTATTATTTGACCTTTTGACCAAATAAAAAGCTAACAAGTGTGTTTGGCTAATTGACGTTTTCACTTACTTTTTTATCTCTAACCGTCAAAACACAAAAAAAAACTAATAAACCTATCGTTCAGGGTTGGCGTTTAATTTTTACGCCATTCTTTTCATATATAACTAGTATAGTACCCGTGCATACGCACGGGAAATAATAATCGGTGCATATATTTTTACTCATGATCTAATTAAATATTAAAACAAAAATAACTTTTTAGGATTCTACATTTTAGAAGACAAAAAGAGTACGATAAGCCAATATCATAAAGTATAAGCCATACAATAAATATTTATGAAGAGTATATTAGGGAAAATTAATTGACAACACTCATTAGAATTTGCCATCTATTAGTTTTCATGATTAAATTAATTTTAAAATAAAATACAAATCTAAAAAAGTACAATAAGTGAATGACATAAAGTTTAAGTGAATACAACAAATATTAATATTAATGAATATTAGTCCCACTTTTCATTTTGTACCTCTTTTTTATTCTAATAAAAACTGGCAAATGTTCCCCGTCATTTGCACCACCATAAGGTGATTTACCTACCGGGCCCAAAAAAATTAGTTAAATAAGAACTTGCTAATCATTTATTAAAACAATGCTAACATATGAGAGAAAAAACATATGAGAAAGAAAATTATTCCGTTCAATTGCTAGCAAAATTATCTTCTAATATTCTATCTAATACCTAAAAGCACTGCATTATTCCGCTCAATTCTCCTACTCAATTGTTAGCAAACTTATCTTCTAATACCTAAAAGATATTAGATAAGAGAAATTTCTCCCGCTCAATTATTAGCATGCCTATGTTCTTATACATAAAACTATTACATATGAGAGGAAAAATTATCCCGCTCAATTATTAGCAAATCTATCTTCTTACTCCTAAAATTACTACATATGAGAGAGAAAATTCTTCCGTTCAATTGTTAGCCGACTTATCTTATACAGTTTTACCTAAAAGCACTACATATGAGAGATAAAATTTTCCCGCTCTATTCTTAGCCAACTTACCTTATACTTAAAAGAACTACTCTCTCCGTCCCACTAAGATTGTCCCAGACACTATTCACTCGGTCAACACAAATCATTCTTAATCTCTTACTTTATTTATCAAAATTTTATCAAATTTGATTCTGGTTTTTGCGACTTTGTAAAGATTTAAATGTAGTTTCTGGATATGTAATTTTTATTTTCTAAAAATAACTTGAGTTGGGACAGGGATCAATTTCCCAAAAGCACTACAAATGAGAGAGAGAAATTTTTCGCTCAATTGTTAGCCGGTTTATTTTCTTATACCTTAATAAAGCACTACATATGAGAGACAAAATACTTCTGTTCAATTATTGGCCGACTTATCTTATTTTATACTTAAAAAAATTGATTATGAGAGAGAAAATTATCCCGCTTAATTGTTAGAATGCTAATCTTCTAATATCTAAAACCACTACATATGAGACAAAAAACTTTTTCGCTCAATTATTAACCAGCTTATCTTATACTCAGAAGCATTATATATGAGAGAAAAAATTCTTCCGCTCAATTGTTAATCAGCTTATATTATACTTCAAAGAAGTGTTAATGAGAGAGAAGTTCTTTCACTCAATTTTTATCAAGCTTATGTTTTAATACCTACGTACCTCTGTCTCACACTTTCACTAATATTGAGACATGAGGAGGTGGTGCGGTTATGAATAAAAGTGTGACGACAAATCAGAATAGAAAAAAATAATAGTAGAATTGACATATATATCCAGCTAACAAAGAATTTAGAGTATGCTTGTAATTATATTCACCACATTTGCATGTGAAGGAATTAAAAGTTAACTCTGGTTCTTATAACAACTAGTAACTCACCCGTGCGATGCACGGTGTACAGATGCACGATTTGAGATATTTTCTTCAATGGTTATTAATAATTTTTATTTTATTATAAAGCGTTATGAAGTGAGAAAATTGTAAAACATGGAGTAAAATGAGATAATTCCCCATGGAATAAAAAGACAAATGAAAAGGCATTTAACCAAACATGATGGTTAGCCGTTTGATCCGGTCAAAAGGCCAAAGTTAGTCAAATCAACCAAAAAATGGTTGATAGCCTCCTAACCAAACACCCCCATTGCATTTTATAGATTAATTGCCCATGTAAGCAGGCAAAACAGGGGTGATGTGTAAATATGTGAAAGTGTGTTATGTCATTCTTAAACTATATTTGCATATAAATTTGTGAGAAAATGTTTTAATAGCTCCTACTATTTCAAATACTTCGTATGTCACTTGGGGTCCATATACCAAAAAGTCATGATATCATTTAAGCACATTTACTTCCATTTATTTTTGAAAAATAAAACAAATCCGGTCTTTGCCGGGTTTACTGGGTATTTTTTGGTTTGGTTGTGGGCATGGTTTTCACTTTTCCGGGTTTTAGTCACTTTGAGTTAGCTCCTTCTCACTTTGGGTTAATTATAGTAAGAATTAATATTTATACTCTTTTTACCATTTTTATTTATTTCTGAATATTTTCATTTAATTTTTTGGATCTAGTTAAATTTGAAAATTGATAGTTTAAATTATTATAATTAGATATTTATATTTTAATTTTTTGAACATGTAACTGGTCACATATGAACGTTATTGGCGGAGTGTCCGTAAATTTGACATTACTCTGAAATCATCAATAATTGAGTTTTTTATAAACAAATTGACAATGTACAGGACGGTATACTTGCAGGTAATATATCTAAATCACTAATACAACCCATTTAGGATAAAGTATATTTGAATTTTCAATAAACAATAAATTAAAGTAAATCTATCTTAACCACTCATTTTAGTTATTTACATTCAATACACAATACTCCGTATGAATTTTTCACAATTTATTTACTAAAAAGATTTCATGAAAAAAAAAATTAAAAGTAAACTAATAATGAAAGGTAAAGAAAAAATATGGACTAATAAGGAGAAAACACATCGACCCAGCCCATGGCTACATAACAAAATAAAATAATGGATCAAGTGAAATAATTTAACCTCTCCCGTATGCCATAACCTTCTCGACACTCCTGCCCCCTCAACAATCGCCGCCCCTGAACTGCTCTCTATCATCTCACGGGCCACGCCGTGCTTCACCTCAACACGGTCGACCTTTGTTAACAGCACAAAATCATCGCACTTTTCGATTGACTCAATGGCAGCGGTGCGACAGAAAATCAGATACCACTCAGGCTCACAGCCACACCGCGCAGTGTAGAACACGAATGCCTGATTTCAGAGTTTACCTGGTCTCGGAACGAAATATTCCGGCACAGATAAGTTTGTTACTTATGTTTTAAAGATCAATTTCTTAATCGGACTGCATACCAACTCAAAATTGTTTGCATGCCACTTTTTTGTGTATTCTACTCTCCTGCTAACAATTTCAAAGAACATTCCATTTTCTCAAGTATATATCCCTGTTCAAATAATACTATCCATTTATTAGTCTAAATCAATTGAAGTCTCAAATTCTTCAACAACCGAAAAAATTAAATTGTCTAGATGGAATATTTATGCATAAATAAAAAGAGTGTATTAAATTGTTTTGGGTATTATTCACATATGTAATGGGATTTTCAGTATGGCTATTTAATTTGTAGGAAGATTTGAATGTTTAATATCTATTGGCATCGATGTACGTAGATCTCACAAAGTATGAGGTAATTGTTATTTTTTAATCTTTATTTGTATCTACTATTTAGTTATAGATAATTGAAATTTAAGTTTTAATATAGAATTGAATGTTCCTGTCTTTTAAAAAAAATTGAATGTTCCTGTCTTAAGAACTTATATTAAAAAAATTACATTTCACGATCTTCCAACTAAAGCACTCCTTTTTGCCTCATTATTACAAAAATCGTGATGCTTTTGCTCTCCACAGAGTTACTTTTATTATAACATCCATGTATTATTCTTGCCATCAGACTCTGTAGCGAGAGTATTATGTGAGTACCTCACAACTTGTCTTTGTGTGTATATATGACTATATGTTATGTATCTAGACATTTTATAACCTTCAATTGTCTCACTTGATATTCCTCATGTAGTTTGACTTTAGCAGATACATGTCTTTCCTAAATGATCACAAATCTATTATTTATCAAAATATGCATTGCATCACACCATGTTAGTTATGGACCAGAAACACCATGATGGTAAACATGCCCGGTTGAGATAACTAATCATCAATAATATATGTTGAACAATAAACTCAATTGACAGAAAACTAATATGTAATTCACCAAAAATTCACACATGTAGCTAATATATTTACATTATATGCATTTGATATAGATTTCTATATCTATAAACTTTTGTGTGAGTGTCCTCATAACACACATGTATAAACATATTGCCATGATCTTATTGCTAATTGCAGGCATAGAAAATACCCCGTAGAACTTGAGATGCCAAAAGGGAAAAGAGAAAGAGAAGAGAAGGAATGCTATTTGAGCTTGAAGGCCAAATGGATGTGGGAAGTATGCCGCAGGAGTGGTGCTTTTATACGTCAACATATCCACAATAATTGCCTCGAATGGCCTGGCCATATCACTGTTCACACCTCCCTTTTCCACCAATAGAATGAATGCTAGATGAACAATAATTGAGTCAATAGTGCTCACCACCTATTTAGACCAATAGGATCATGCATAATTTAAGCCTAACTATTCACACTTCCTTTTTGGTCCAATAGAAACAACGTACTCACAACACCCCATTTGCTGAACGAAATAATACCTTCTTTATGGTTAATTTTTTGCATAGATTTTGAGCAATAAAAAATCAAGTGTTGATGTTGACAGTTCTAAGCGGCAACACTGCTCCCTGAACTTCTTTTCCTTTTATATTAAGATAGATTGTAAAAATTAAAATAAAGGTAAAAATCGTACGAAGTATGATAGAGATGATGATTAAAAAAAATTAAACTATCATAATTTCATATTTCTTACTACTGATGTGTGGTATGACTCTCATTGAATCACTTTAATACACCATGTGACACTTAAAAACAATTTTACAATGACAATACTAACATTTACGGAGTATGAAATTTGATAATTTTTTTTATAAAAATTAGAGAAACAATGAAAACATTATAACACTTAGAAGAAAATGGTGTTTTTTTTACACATTGGACATCTTTTTATTTGGATTCCGTTTGGTAAACTCAAATCGCATGAATCTACCGAAAATGATGAAGTTGTGTCTGAATTTGCTGAATCTGCTGAATTATGAAAAATTTGTATTTTAAAATATATTCTCATTATAAAATACAAAAGAAGTATATGAAAAGTAGCTAAAATGACTCTCTAAAGTAACTTCAGTCATTCAGCAAAAAAAAACTTCAATCCTACTTATTTTGATTATTTTACAATCCAACGCATACATCAAAAAACATACCGTGGAGTATTAAAATTTATATTTTTTAAATCTTTCATATAATACCAATATTGTATATACAAAATTTAGTTTTTTTTGAACATTTACCAAAGAACATTCTATTTTTCAACCTCGACACGCATTATTTCGCATTATTTCCAATATTCATAATTTGGCGAAAATGAGGGTATTGGATAAAATTTGAATTATTAATTTTTGGAAATTATAATTATGAATTATGAAGTATTTTATATCAAAGTGAATATAAAATCATACTCATAGCAAATTTAGTTACTTTTTGGTTCACAAATGTCTATCAAAGAAAATTTTCCTAATAGTCACTTTGATATAACTTTAAACATAATTATAGTTACTAAAAATTAATAATTCATATTCTTATCCATTATCTTTATTTTGGTCAAATATTATAAATCATTTCTTTATTTAATACGGAATAATTTGTATAGAGGTTGGAAAATGGGAAGACTGTTTAATAAATCTTCAGATTTTTTTTTAATTTTATATGTTCATTATTGGTGTCATTGAAAGATCATAAAAAATTATCAATTTTGATATACTTTTTATATAAGGAATTATTTCTTTATTTAATACGGAATAATATGTACGATAGTATTAAGGTTGGAAAATGGGAAGATTGTTTAATAAATCTTCATATTTTTTAAAACTTTTATATATTTAATATTGGTGTCAAATGAAAGATCATAAAAAATTATGAATTTTGATATAATTTTTATAAAAATCAGATAAATGCTTAAAAAGTTATAACAATTTAAAAGAAATGGTGTTTTTTTATATACTGGGCCCCACCAAATTAATGCCACGTGTTTTTTTAATATGAAGGGTGACCTTCCTTTGTATTTGCTTGTTCAGTTAGTTCGATATTAACCTTGAATTTGCCACTTGGCATTTGCATAGTAGAGGAGTAATTTGTGGTGAGAATGATACATAAGATTTTTCAAGGGTAAAATTGTATTTATATGAGCTATTCCTTTCTTATTCTTATATATAAATAGAATAGAATAGATAGATAAATAGATAGATAGAATAGAAGATAACATTCTTCTTCCAAAAAGAAAAGAAAGATAAGTTCTCAAAACAGATGATTTGAGAAGCACTTATTTAAAGAAATTAATTACTAAATCAATTAAAGAGGCATTAATGCACCTATACGTTTTATCATGACATTTCAACGTTCCAAAGCTTTCAAGGCTCACCCTGAAACCCCCTCCGATCCTGGACCTGGAGTTGTCATCCCAGTTCTCTCTTTTCCTCAAACACAATCTGTAAATCTTCTCCCACCCACAAAACATCTTCGTCTCACTTATGGGACAACAATCTCAAAATTCGGCAAAACCATCACATTCATACAAACTGTTTGGTATCATCTCTAAAGTCACCTCCCTTGCAGAAATCTACAAGGCATTCTCAAGAAAATTGCACCCGGCCGATAGAACCAACAAACAGAGAACATCTCACCGCCATCAATCCAATTTCATTTCCATTCATGACTCGTACCCGGTAATGTTTATGTTACAGAAACATTAATCCCACCATTTCCATGCATTCATTTGACAAAATTAATGTTCTTTCTCATGAATTCCTCAGAGTATTGTTAGAAGTCAACGACAGAGAGATGGAGAAACCACCCCAGGCCGGGACAAGAAAACACGTGAGGAAAAGGATAAAGAAGAAGAATTTGTGATTTCAAGCCCAAAGCTATTGTCTAGGACGACAAGCCGGGTCGCCCCGACATTGTCGAAAAGCTCCAGCGCAGGACGGCCTAATCCTATAGATTTGTATGCACATATGCAGAGATCAGCCTCTGTTTCTAGCACCACCAGCCCCACGGCTTTTCTTTCGAAAACGTTGAGCCAAAGAAACATAAATATGGCCGCGGCATGGAGAAAGCCACCACCTTTGGAGAAGAAGCTTGAATGCACCCTTGAGGAGCTTTGCTTTGGATGTACCAAAGAGGTCAGAATCACAAGGGAAATCGACTCAAATGCAGGGTACATCCATATACACAATCTCGAAGTCAACCTAATAGGAGCAGTACAAAGTTTTATAGATAATTTCTTTTTTATATCTAAAAGTTTGTGCCCGTAATCGAGACTTATCAGAATATAATTGCTCGAGGTTTATTTTCTCTAATATCATATTAAGATAATACGAGTAATCGAGAATTTTTTACATTTTGATACTGACTGGGGTGGGATGATGTCTTTTGACCCCTTTTGGTCACTTGTTTTGGAAGTTATCTCTCAAAATGAGAGGGCTCCTTAATCTACCAAGTAGGAGCCCACCTTGTTAACTTAAGTCACCATGATTAACCTATTCCAAACATTCTGTTGGGCTCGAGTGGTACGACTCATTCGATGGGGTGTGACACCTTTTTGAAGAACCAATACCTATGGCTAAATAGTATAAGTGTGATCCTGAACTGTTTCTATGTGAGTAGAATTGAATTTTCGCTCTCTTTAAGACTAAATTGTATAGAATGCTCATATATATTCCATATTCTAAAAGGAAAGTTTTATAGGAGTAATACGAGTTCATATAATGTGACTATGTATATGGATTTAACAGTTTTGTGTGGCAGGCTAATTTTTCAAGAAGAGGAATATGTGACAATCAAGGTGAAGCCGGGGTGGAGAAGAGGAACGAAGATTACATTCGAAAGCAAGGGCGACGAGAGAGGAGGAACCCTCCCAGAAGACATTATCTTTCTGATCGAGGAGAAGAAGCACCCGTTGTTCAAGAGAGAAGGAGATGATTTGGAGTTAGGGGTTGAAGTCCCTTTAGTCCAAGCTCTCACAGGATGTATTGTACAGGTACCCACATTAGGAGGAAAGGATGTGGTGACTTTAAACATGGAAGATGAGATCATCTATCCCGGGTTTGAGAAAACTATCCCTGGACAAGGCATGCCTAAATACAAGGATGGTCAAAAAGGTGATCATCAGAGAGGAGACCTTCGGGTCAGATTTCGAGTTGTTTTTCCAGAAATGTTGAGTGAAGAGCAAAGGTCACAAATTTTCAGTATACTGAAAGATGTGTAAGTTTCAAAGTTTTGTTACCTTGGTATAAATCTACCTGGGATCAAAATTCATATGCACATTAAGCATGTTTTTCTAGTTTTGCTTGGAACTTGACATAACATCTCAGTCCCTGGTTTGGAAAACAAAACTAGACAGATAAACAAAGATAAAAAAACTGAACAAGTTACAAATATGTAAGATTCAGAAGAGGACTAGTATAAAAACTAAAGTAAAACTGTTACGGAATCACAATTCTGCAACCTATTGAATAAAAACGCACACGACTTATTATTATTTTTTGTAGATAAATGAATATAATGAGGGGTATCAATTATGCGTATGGAGACTATTAAAAACTCAAGGTAAACAAATATAAAGAAGAAGATGAAATGGAGTGGAATATGAAATCTGTATATTGAGTAATGAGTAATAAAAACTGGATACTCTACGATGCCTTAGAGGCCTTCTATTTATAGCCAAAACAAAGACTAGTAAGTACACAAAGATAATAAAGTTACATTCAGCTTGCTATCTTATCTCTTAAATAATTGGATAGCAAGTTGTCTATTATTTTGTCTGGTAGTTGACAGTTTGCAGACCATTGAATTTAATCAACTTTTGATACTCCCCCTCAAGATGGAATTGTAGATGTTCTTCATTCCAATCTTGTCCGTTATTCTCTCTAGATCTTCTCCGGAGATTGCCTTTGTGAATATATCTGCTAACTGCATTTTTGATGGAATGTACCTCACATTAATTATTCCTTGTGCTACCTTTTCTCTGATGAAATGGCAGTCAACTTCAATGTGTTTTGTTCTCTCATGGAGAACAGGGTTCTTTGTGAGATATATTGCTGATTGGTTATCACAAAATAGATCTATTGGTTTTTGAATTTCGATCTGAAAATCTTTGAGTAGTGATTTCAACCATGTGATCTCACAACTGGTATAAGCCATTGACCTATACTCTGCTTCTGTTGATGATCTGCTCACTGTCTGTTGTTTCTTTGACTTCCAACTGACAAGTGAATCTCCTATCAGGATACAATACCCAGTTACCGATTTCCTGGTGTATGGACACCCAGCATAGTCTGAGTCACAATAAGCTTTCGTCTCCATATTTTCGTCTGAGCTATAGAACAAGCCATGTCCTATATTATTTTTCATATACCTGACAATTCTTAGTAGTGCCTTCATATGAGTCCTTGTGGGTTTTTCCATGAATTGACTCATTATTCCAACTGCATACGAAATGTCAAGTCTTGTAATAGTTAAGTATATCAATTTTCCAATCACTTTTCTATAAAGTGTAGGATTTTTTAGGAGCTCCTCTTGAGTTCCTTCTTCAAATTGTTTGAATTTATGATTCTGAATTATTGGATTTATAGCAGGTTTACAACCTAATAATTCAGTCTGTTCAAGTATCTCCGATGCATACTTCCTTTGCGAAATATGTATACCTTTGGAGTTTCTTGCTATTTCTAGACCAAGAAAGTATTTTAACTTTCCTAGATCTCGAATTTTGAACTTATCTTGAAGTTCTTTCTTCACAGAGTCGATTTTTACTTGATCATCTCCGGCTATGATAATGTCATCGACATATACTAATAGAAAAACGACTTTTCCATTTTCTTTTCTGATAAAGAGTGAATATTCACTTTTGGATTGTCTGAAACCTATGGTTTTTAGAAAATGAGTGAACATTTCGTTCCATTGCCTACTGGCCTGTTTTAGACCATATAGGGACTTTTTGAGTTTGCAAGCATATCTGGTGTTGTTCTCCCCCTGAATTGAAAGGCCTGGAGGTAAAGACATATATATGTCCTCTTCAAGATCACCATTTAAAAATGCATTATGGACATCAAGTTGTTCCAAATGCCAATTGTGCTTTGCAGCTAAAGCTAATAACACTTTAACAGAAGTTAATTTTGCAACTGGGCTGAATGTCTCAGTATAATCTATGCCAAATTGTTGAGTGAAGCCTTTAGCTACTAATCTAGCTTTGTATTTATCAATTTTCCCATCGGAGGTTAACTTGATTTTAAAGACATATCTACAACCTATTGGCTTTATGTCATCAGAAATAGGAACTATGTCCCATGTATTATTATCCTCTAGAGCTTTCAATTCTTCATTGATAGCCTTCTTCCATAGAGGATCTAAAATAGCTTGTTGATATGATTCTGGCTCATTTAGAGTCGATAAAGTGACTGAATAACATTTTTGTTGTTCAGATAGTTTGTCATATCCCAAAAAATGAGATAAAGGATACACAGTTTTAAAACTATTGCGATAAATCGAGTTAGATCTTGGCACTTTATAATGATGAAAATGTTTCAAATGAGAGGGTGTCTTGGCCTCTCTTTGTGATCTCCTTAACTGAATATCACCAATTGTAATTCCTTCAGAATCACTTTCATAACTGGAGGGTATTTTGACCTCTTCTTGTGATCCTTGTGATTGAATATCAATATTTGTGGTTCCTTCGGAATTACTTATATAATTGGAGGGTATTTTGACCTCTTCTTGTGATCTTAATTGAGTATTACTTGATGTGGTTCCTTCAGAATCACTTATATAATGAGATGAATCTTCATTCTCATTTTGTCTAGAACCATGAGGTTCTTCTTGAGATACATTCATGTCTTTTTCTTGAAATGTTTCTGAACCTATAGGCTCTATTTCTTCATCAAACTCTTGAAAAGAATCTTGTGAATCCGAGCCATTGCTCATATTTGGAGTCATCAAAAGACTTGTTGTGATATTAGGTAATGAACCTGGTGAGTAAACTACTTGTTTACTTATTTCTTGTTCTTTGTCAAAAGGAAAAACATTTTCTGCAAATATTACATCTCTTGAGATGAAAAATGTTTTTGTTTTAAGGTCATAGCACTTATAACCCTTGATATGTGCTGGATAACCAACAAAAACACTTTTTCTTGACCTTGAGTCAAATTTCTTTCTTTGAACTGGCAAACTGGATGCAAAACACAAACATCCAAAAACCTTTATGTCTTTATATTCTGGTTTTTTACCATATATCATTTCAAAAGGAGATTTTCCATTTAACCTTGGAGTAGGTATCCTATTAATTAAGTATGCTGCTGTCAAAACAGCTTCACCCCAAAAATGTTTGGGTAAATTTGATTGAAACATCAATGCTCTTGCTACATTAAGTAGGTGTTGATGTTTTCTTTCAACCACTGAATTTTGTTGAGGTGTATAAGGACAAGATCTTTGATGTATGATTCCTTTATCATTGCAAAAATCATCAATATTGAACTCTTGACCATTATCTGTCCTTACCTTTTGAACATTTACTTTAAATTGCTTTTCCACCATTTTGATAAAGTTTTTCATTGTTACCTGTGTATCTGATTTATGCTTAAGCAAATAAATCCATGTTGCCCTACTGAAATCATCTACTATGGTTAAAAAATAACTCTGTCCATTTGTGGTTTCAACTGAAAAGGGACCCCAAAGATCACAATGTATTAATTCAAAAGGAGAACTGGAAGTACAAGATAAATTGAAAACAGAAGTATTTTTATTAGAAGAACAACTGGAAGTACTTTTAGATGAAAAACGAGATATCTTTTGCTTGGACAATTGACAAACCGTGCAATAAGAGAATTTATTACAAGAAACAATTGGAGATCCAAGCTTAATTAAACAAAGTCTCTCATGAGATAAATGCCCTAGTCTATAGTGCCAAATATGACTAGAAACACTTGCTTCGTTAACTTGGTTGACTGAAAACACCTTTTGCTCAAAACATTTTTCTTCCCTTAAGTGGTATAACCCTTCCACTTGTTCATTCTGATTCCCAATCTTGCTCAAAGATTTCGTCAATGCTTTTGAGTTTTCCTGGAAAATTTGACAAGAATCTTTTGTAAAAATCACATTTAAGTTGTTATCTGCAGTGATTCGACTTACAGAAATTAAGTTAATGTTGAAACTAGGAACACAGAGAACATTTTTCAAAATAATATACTTGTTAACATAAATATCACCTGTATATGTCACAGGGATTTTGTTACCATTAGGTAACTTCACTGCACTGTTAATTTTCTTTATGTTATCAGTGAAAAAAGTTTGAGAAGACACAATATGATGTGTAGCTCCTGAATCAATTATCCAGGGCTTATATTTAAATTCATGAGAAAAAGTATCTGCACAGTTTGAAACTGGATCAACAGGTGTTGCTGCAATTGCCTTCGGTAAGCTTTCATTTTTGAATTGTTCTGCCATGGCTAGAAGAGATTGTAATTGGTCAGATGAGATGGTTACTTGACCATTTGAAGCATTTATGTTTCTTTTATAACTTCCAGTAGATTGTTCTCCCATCACCATTGCAGATGAACTCTCATGCATTCTTTCATGTGTGTATTTATCATCACCAAATCTGCCTCTGCCTCTTCCGGCTCTTCCACCTCTACCACCTCTTCCTCCTTGCTCATGATTGTTTTTCTTGTTACCACCAGGCGGGTAGCCATAGATTTTAAAGCAATTTTCCACATTGTGGTTTGTCATATGACAATTTTTGCAGAACATTTTCCTTTTATAAACAACAGCAAGGGCTGAAGCTTCAGAATAAGATGAAGTAAAACTTCTAGCTTGTTTCTGCTTTTCTTCTTGTAAAACAAGATGATATGTTTTGTCAAGACTAGGAAGAGGATCTTGAGATATGATTTTTCCTCTAATAAAATCATTCGAGTCATTTAAGCTCATAAGAAATTTGAAAATTTTTCTTTTCTACTGAATTTTCAAGAACTCATCATGGAGTTTACATGTGCATTTGCCACATTTACAGCATGGTGAAGGTTGATAATGCTTAAGCTCTTCCCAGATACGATTTAATTTAGTAAAATAATCACCAACAGATAGTGAGTCTTGAGTGACTGCATTGAGATCTTGCTCAAGCTGAAAAGTTCTTATGTCACTAGGCTCATCATATCTTATTTTCAATTTTTCATACGCCTCTTTGGCAGTATCACAGTACAATATTGTACTTTTAATTTCTAGAGAAACAGAATTATGAAGCCAAGAAAGGACCAATGTATTACACTTGACCCAGGCCTGTAAATTTGGATCATCACTTGCTGGCATGGCAAGCGTTCCATCAACAAAACCCATTTTGTTTTTCAGTTTAAGATTCATTTCAAAATCTCTATGCCAAGTGTGATAATTCCTTCCATTAAGGAGTGTGGTGACTGCTCCAGAATTACTATTGTCTGTGTGATTAAGATAGTAGGCACTGTACGGGTCATCATGCTCAAGAGAGCTGCCACGCTTGGTGGTTTTAGATGAACTTTCATCCGTAGTTTTACCAGATTCATCCATTTTCAGCACAAAACAAAGCTTAAAGGAAACAGTTTAATATAATATAGAGAATCATGAAAACTGAAAGAAAAGAAGAGTCCCTAGGCAAG